GTATTAACTGCATAACCACACGAACTGATGTGAACTCTCAAACTGAGATAAGCACTATGGAGAAAGGAGTGCTGTCCTATAACTAAAGAGCTGATTAGAATGAAGATCCAATTAAGTGTCACAGAGATGTTCCTGTAGAATTCTTAAGGATGACCAGGCATCCATGAATGGAGTGGACTGCTCTTAACAGAAAGAGAGACAAGAAGACTCATAGCTCTGGGATTCAGACTCAATGGGAGAATGAGGAGCTTGGGGCTTGAACAGAGCCTTAGTCAACCCACATAAGGCCTTACAGGGCAAATTAAGGATGGAGGTTTACAACTAAAAATCAATGGGGAGTTGCTGACAGGTTTTAACATGGCTGGGACAGGTGGAGGCAGGAGAGCTTAGGTATGATCAGAATGATGTTATAGAGCATATCAACAAACCCTAAACAACAGAGGGGGTCATTAGTCAGAGGACAAAAGGATACACTACAGTGGGGAAATCACTGAGAGTTAATTCCAGAGCCATAAGAAGGAGTTGCTGTGTTTCTACAGGGAGAGAAACTTGGGATAAGTGAAAAACACGAAAGAGAAAGAGCTCTTCTTTAACCCTAGGGTCATGGGAAAGATGGATTTGGATTGTGTATCCACATACTAAGTATTTGTCAAGAGCCAGTCCGGGCTGCAGGGCAAACTCTGAACGTGGAGGCTGGAGAAATGACGCTCACTGGGCACCTCCAGCCTCACAGAGGGAGACACACACGCATTGTGTTTGCTGTGAGGAAAGGAGACAAAAGAAACTCATGAGCATTAGTGGATTTAGGTAATGGCGATGACTTATAGACATAGATGGAGGGGAGTAATTTAGAAGAGAGGGGAAAGGAAACAGACAAACTAGAAATATTAGATATGTCATGAAAGATAGGAGTTCTGGCAGATTTAAAGAAAAGCTGCTTTTCATGATAACCACATGAGTTTGATAGAGAATAGTTCTTGTTTTGCCACATTAGAAGTAAGGAACAAGAGGGGCCCATAAAAGTTG